ACCGCCACTGTCACCGCCTACCATTTTTGTTGGTATCGGCCTCATGGAACTTTTCGGTTATGAACGCTTCCTCATTGTAATGCGCTCTTTCCTCCTTTGCTTTCGACACTAAGTAAGTGAGTGCAGACACCCATTTGTCGCGATCCTGTAAAGAACTATTGCTTTGTATCATTACTTTGCAATAGATTTCTGTAAAAAAAAGCGCCAAAAATTGATCAAAAAATACTCAAAGAGCCAGTTTACCTCTTTACTACTAGCTGCAAAGTCTACGGATTTGTGCAGAAATTGTGCATGGGTGAAAATTATGGAAAAGCATGTTGCTTCCTGCAAATGATCTCCTTCTTTAAAAAATTGGGGAAAATCGTAAGTACCGGTGCAGCTTCTTGAAATTCATAATGCTTCGCAGCTCGATGGAGATTATCAGTGTTGTAACCGGCACGAACTTCTAGGATGTCAGTTAGTGGCACTAAACGAGTATTTATATTTCATTTATGATCTGACCGTAACGGAAATGAGAGAGGATACTGTAGCAACCGTAAAGCTCAGATTGGATAGCTAGTCTGTAAAGCAAAATATGGGTGTTAGACGATTTGGTAGAGAACTGCAACAATAAGAGATTGTCCTTAAGATACCACTTTTGTTTAATAACTACTGGTGGACGGAGAACAATGGCAGAATGATTGCTTCACAAAGATCAATGGGAAGAAAACAGAACGCCACATTCATTACTTTATTTACTTTATTTGTTCAATTTTGATATTATTCTTAGGAATATGAGAACGAATTATATTCTGCAGCAGAAGCAGGATTGCGCCAGGTGAAATTTTTCATTTGGATTCGGAGTAACTCACTTACGACTGGTTCTTCAAAAAGTATAATTATAAACGATTGGTTTTTCCAAGGAAAGCGAGATGAGAATGTCTTCACATAATTCTTATGGAGCCCATAAATATTCGACGCATAAAAAACCAGTTCTCCATCTTTTGAAGCTGGTGTTACACTAAAAATTGTGGCTTTTATCGCTGTCGCCTCAATAACTTCTTTGAGATTTTTGTGCCGCTTAAAAAATGAAAAAGTATCCGAAGGTATGAACCTATCAAAAAGACAAATGTGCTATGACAAAAGCGGTTGAGCAAAGGAAAATTTTCTTTGTTAAACGCCCCAGTTGCTATCAGGTTGGCTAGAAAATTCCCGGTCATTGCAGACAAAGTTTTTGGTTCGGTGTAAGCAGTGATTGGGGTATGCTGCATACCGTTGGTTAAAGAAAATCAAACTCTACAAGCATTACCAATGTTTTCTTTGATAATTTGGACAAAAATTCTAAAGCATAGGACTTTGACTTGACCCAGATCTCCCACTTCCACAAACGTTATGAAACTCCCCTCTCCTATTATAGTGAATATTTACTTATGCACTTGCATGCACAGTTTGTATGGAATTCGAGCTTAAACAATGAAAAATCAGGTGATTGACAAGTGGCAAACTCCGCCCTCATTGATCTTAAACTCCTCCCACTTGCTTGACTACCACCACAGGCAGCAAAGAGTACAGCTGCAAATTTTCGCACATGTACATGCATCAGATTTTGGGAAATAGCAGATTTGTTTCAAAAATGTCCGAGAACTTTC